GAGCCTAAACTCACGCAGCACATTCTCCAGAGCTCACCTAAACTCACGCAGCACATTCTCCAGAGCTTACCTAAACTCACGCAGCACATTCTCCAGAGCTTACCTAACCTCACGCAGCACATTCTCCAGAGCCTAAACTCACGCAGCACATTCTCCAGAGCTTATCTAAATGTGCCTAAGCCACCGACTCAAAATAATGTACACTGAAGCATCCTTTACACATATTCAGAGCACTGAATTTATTGAGCATAAGACGGAGACAGCGCACACAGAAGTTTGCGCGGTGGCAGGGCAGATTTCATCAGACTGACAACATGCGAGCGCACCGGCAGCGGCGTTCGATCCGGACACTGCAGACATACGTCTCCTTCCCACCAGGAAACATAAAGTCAGCCGTAAAACCAGGAATTTATTACTATCAGATAACCAAAATGCATGATGATAAAGAGTCCTTTCCTGCACGGACTTTGTAAACGAGTTCCATGTCAAAACAGGAAATACAACTTAAACACATAAAGGAAAAATTATGAAAAGGAAAGCATTCGAAGACATCTCTTAAAATACTCCATTCCTAACATGTTAACGTACACTGCAGTCAGAATAAACATCCACATCACAGACTGCAGAGATCTTTTACAAGACAGAAAAAAAGATGTAAGCCAGGCTGGGAACAGCATACATTACTGAGATTATTTCTTCACTCCAACAAGGAAAGAGGAGGGAAAAGGGACATTTAAATAGACAATTTTTAAGTTTCTTACAGTAATTTCCACGGCAGCAGTTTATAAGCTATTAGAAATGAGAAAGAGAGAGAGAGAGAGAGAGAGAGAGAATGGGGAAAAGGGAAAAAATGAAAAAAAAAACACGAAAGAAATGCTAGTGATCAAAATGAGAACCAAATGTTTTTCTTGATGAGTTTGAATAGCCCATTAGACTGCTTCTGAATGAAAAATTTAAAAAAGAAATCACTTCCACTGATTAATTTCTCAACCCCTCATAGGAGTATCTAACATATAGAAGGAACTTATTACAACTGATTACACATTTGTTAAACGTATAATTATGTAAAGCAAAAAAACAGTTTATACACAAGGCCTCAGTATTATAGACAATATTAATTCTGACCTCTGATTCCACAGAAATGATTTAATGGGGAAAAAAAACAGTACTGAATGATGTGCTGGAGGGTTAAGAGCTGAATTTTGTTTACTTAAAAAGAAAAAACAACAAAAGAAAGATGGGAACGCATGCAGCCCGTTCAGGAAAAGAATGAAGTCTGTGCTATAAAGAAAACCAGCGAGAATATGTGAAACATCTACACGAATTTATCATCTTCGTAAGTCATAAAAGGTTTTGTGTTCTTGTTAGCAATAAGCTTTAATGAGATTGTGTTAAGAGGTCTGATTTGTCTCCCTTTAGCCAGTGTTTTCTGCAGGGAAACACAAAAGTAACAGGTTACCCTTTTATTTGGCGATTGGGTGGAGGGGAGGGAGAAAGAAAGAGACCCCAGTGGCCCAGGCTGGACTCCAGGCCCACCTCATCAGAATGCAAGCTGGAGCCCAGGACGGGGAGCTGGCACCATCCTGCACCCACATCTATTAGCCAAATGATTAAATCTCCATCAGCCCGGTGGTGTAATAAAGCAACTGTAATAGGGCATTGTTACAGGATCAATGTTTCCTGGTTTAAAAATAAACCTCTGCATTTATCTACCAGCAGCAAATGATGTTCCCTCAACACTGTTTTATTCAACTGACATCTTTTAATCAGAACAATCCATACCGTGGCTACATTCCAAAGGTATCATAATTGCAAATATTTATGGCGTTGGATAATAGCTATATTTTTGTTGCTAACCTTTTTCTTCCCTTTCCTACAGATTGGATGCAGACATCTTCTAATGAATTAATTCCATTAAGAAGAAAAATCTAAAGTAATTACCTTCACCAAAACAACCTCTCATCTACCTTCTATTTTCGCCTTTAACTATAATACATAGCTGTTTGTATGTTTGTCTTTTTAATTTGCCCGCATACCTCTGTAATGGAGTAAAGTAAAATGAAAAATTGTATTCTTTTCAGGGCTGCACATGTGGCTATAACCCCACCCTCTACCCCAAAGGGGAGATCCGGGCTCCAGGCAGGGGCTCACGGCCTCTAGCGCTTGCTTGTTCCTGATGGCCAAGCCTTGTGCGGAGCAGGCAGGATGGAGCAGAGGGTGAGGGCCTGTCCAGTCACTCAGCTCCTACCCCTGCCTTGCCTGAGTCCGGGGCTGCCTGCTTCCTTCCCTTCCCTCCTCCCCCCTCCCCTGCATCTCGCATCTCTCCTTCAGGGAGAAAGCCAGAGCGGACAAGAGCTCACCTCTGCTCAGTCCTCTGTAGGCCGCGTCTACAATGCCAACTTTTAACAAACGGCATGCAGAGCCTGATGTCACCTAGCTGAGACAGACCGGCAATTGTCTCTCTAAAGCCCCCAAATTCATTCCGGAGGCAGCTCCTTTCTTCCCTGTCAGTAGAAAACATCGGAACCGGAGTCCTGTCTCTGCTCCTTCCGGCCCGAAAGGCCGTGGGTGTGCAGGCCGACACACTGGGGGCTGCACAGGCGGGCGAGGCAGGTGAGGGGGTCCAGGTTTGCCTGCTTCCTTTTGGGAGCTGAGACCGGCTCCGCACAGGGCTTTCCGGGGGTGACAGCGCCAGCTGCTGCATCCTTCCTCCTCCCCGCAGGACACATGCAGCTGAACTGAGCACGCGATGCAGGTGGGGTGGCAGTGACAAAGCCACATCCTCTAGAAGGTTCCTTCCTATCACCGGAGCTGCTGGAGGAGGGGAAAGCTTCTCCAAATCCAGTCAAGGCCAGGCAACCCCCAGGGGAGCTGACTACTCTGGGTGTTCCCACGGTGGTGGCTGGCCTCACCAGCCCCTCCACCACCAGCCCCTCCACCTGCCACTGCCCCCATCTGGTACCGGGGAGAGTCCACGCACGATTCTGCTCCTGCCGTCCAGCTGAGACTCCTCAGCAACAGCAAACATGGCCCTGAGTGTCATTAAGATCAGTCTCCTCCTAATAGTACCTTTCCATGAATCGCCAAGTTCCACCCAGCCCCCCACCACCAGCCACACAGCGCTCAGCAGGAGGCAGGGTGCCACTGCCAGCCGGGGGCACTGGCCCCCAGGCCCGATGTGTGTGTGTGGGGGGGGGAAGGGGCAAATACTGGTTTCTCTGGACTTCTCCCCCTCTTAAACCAAGGATTTTTATGAAACAGAACCAGGAAGTTGTACTTGGGCCAGCTACTTTTGAGGAGCTGCAAATGACAAATCACGCTGCATTTTGGCATGGTCTGAGTTTGCAAACACAACAATTTGTGTGCATAAAAATAAAGGCACCATTTGAAAACTGTCAGGTTACTTATACATGGTCCTTATGCTGCACACACGCACGCGCGCGTGCACACACATACACACACAGGAGCTTGTTTTCAAATTAATTTGAAAGGCTATTTAGTTGTGAGCTCTCACAACATTCGGTTCTATCTGACTTAGAGCCTGCAAGCTGGCCACTGATATCTTTCGATAGCAATTCTGTTCCTAGGATTTGTCTGGAAGCACTTAGGTTTTCACGGATCACTGGCCAGCCTTCATTTTTCCCCTTCTGTGTTACGTAGGTATAAGCTGTCTCTCTAAGCATAAACTGTCCAATGGTAAAAAAAAAAAAAAAGTCCATTTTGATTTTATCAGTATTTATGGCTGCTGGTGCCAGCGGTTTAAGACTAGAGAGGGAAAACATGCAAACTAGGAGGAGAAAAAAATTAAAGCCAGGTTCCTCACACCTACAAATAAAACGGGTGGCTATCTTCAAGAGGTATCTGTATCATTCCAAGCTTAGATTATCAATTTAAAAATTCAATCAATAACAATTTACAGGGCTCTGCTATTGCTTCCATCTCTGTACAAGCACCGTGGCTGGAATTTCTAAAGCCAGGACATTAGACGGAGGTACTAAGGGATCTGTAACAAGAGAACTAGCCTCGGCTGCTTCCTGGCCCACCCCCCACTGGCCTTCAGCCTTTTCCCGAATATCCATCAGCCTTCTAGTCACCCTTTACCTTACTCTCACAGAGAGAACCCAAGATAACGTGTGTGTCTGCGAGACACCCATAGCACGCACACGCACCTGTTTTCACACAGCCACGCCCTCAAGAACAAGCTTCCAGACCCCTAGCCTGCCAAGGCTGGGCTGTGTGCTGCCCAGAGCCTGTCTCTTCTCAAGGCTAAGGGGGCTGGCAGCTGCAGAAAGACCTTTGGAGGCTACCAGCCAGGGAGCAGAGGGTACAACCTCCCAGTTCAGTTTCCTAGCTTGCAGTCCTAAGTACCCGGGGCTGTAGGAAGCAGCTCCTGAAGACTGGTACCTGGGAGTGGCCGTCCATGTGAACAAGCTCCCGGAGACCTGAGCCGAGGTGCTCGGGAGCTCCACTCGGCAACGCCTCCATGAGCCGCTGGTGCTCACGGGGAACCTCTCACCCACAGGGAGAGACTCGCTGGGCCGTGACACGGCAGGGCCTCAACAGCTGGCTCGGGGTCCTTCTCTCCAGGGGGAGAGGGGCGGGGAGAGGTGGAGGAACGTGAAAGCAGATGCACTGTGTTTATAAGCCCATTTGTTCCATGCTAGCTCCTGTGCACAACTACTACCTAGAAAGAATTAAAGGGAGAAAAAGGCTTCCTCTTGAAGGGCTCGTGCTCTTCACTGCCCAGGGGCCCCCCTCCGCCTGGGGCCGCTCCCTGATTTGCTGGGGGCCGGGGCGGCGGGAAGGCAGGGCAGCAGACCAACAGCTGGCGCGCCCCCTAATCTTAGCCACACACACCCCCGTGTGCGTACAGTCCTATCATTAAACTCATATTTCTCACTGACAGAGCTCATTTTAAAATCAGCCTTCCAACAGCAAACTAATGATGATAAAATAATAATAATTCCCCACACACAGCAAATGTGACAAAATGACAAAAGAACTCTTAATTTTGGGGCTTTATTTTAATTTTTTTCTTTTAAGATGCTACATAGTCAAACAGAATTGGATTGGTCTTTTATGGCGTAAAATTAATTCACAGTCAGACTTCCATTAGCAGTAGATGGATCAGCTAGGAGCCCCCTCCCTCACCTCTACCAGCCAGCCCGCCTGCCAGGGTCCTCGGCCAGGGACCCAGGCGGTCAGGACAGAGTCAGGCCTGCACTGGAAGTCAGAGTGGTGGCTGAGAGCGGTGGAAGGACAATCTAGAAGCACAGCCACTCTTCTCTGTTTAAAAGTGGGTGACTCAGAGTGGAGCGTCACCACCAAGACTCTCCCCTCACAAGAGCTGTTGCTGACTGATGGAGAACGCCCAGCCAGGAACCTCGGCGCCCAGCAGCACGGGCAGCCCTGCCTGCCGGCTGCCGCTCGGTGCCTAACTGTTCTCAGTGACAGTAAGAACACATGAGATGAGACACGTTAAATAAGTTAAATATGCTTGCACGTCCCAGATACCAGCTCGGTTTCGCTACATGAACCAACAGGAAGTGAGCTTGGTCCCTTTCACAGAACGAAGCACTGCCTTTCCTCTCAAGTGTTGGGTCAGTCGCCACACGCCTCTTGTGGCAGCTGGGACGCCAGCCGCTGCCGCAGCGCCATACTCTGTGGCGACTGCTGCTCTGCGTGGGTCCCACGGACGGATGTGCAGACACAGGACCGCAGCCTGGGCAGGAGTGGGCGGGCGGGGGTCACCGGCCTCCTCAGTCAGTGTCCTGCGCCCACAGGCCAGCACCAACAGCGAGGAAGAGTGTCCTGCTTTAAGAGAGGTGATCCAGCGACATGAACCCAGGCCCACCCGCGTTCAAAACAAGTTCTATGCTGTACTGTCGGCACTCGGCATTAACAGAGCACACTGCTTTCCCCCAGTCACTTACTATACATTTTAACCTTCTAGAAGATTGTTAACTTATGTTATATTTGTGTGTGCATTTGTGTGTGTGCGTGGGGAGGGGTAATTTAAAGGCAAGACCTGTGAGATGTCATCATACATTGACTTCTTTTTACACATGGTTATGATAAATTTAAATCCCATGATATGGTGGCTCCATTCATCCCATTTGCTTCCTCTACAAGGCAATCTTCCCTATAATGACGCCAACGATAAAGAACAAAACAACCAGAGCCAGCAGCCGGGTGCTGAGGCCTTCCTCCTTCCCGGTAGCAGCCAGCGCTGAGATGGGGCTGTTGCTCTGCGCGGTCTTCCTCATCCGCAGCCCATCTTCTTCCTACGGAGCAAAGGTACATTTCAAAGAGGACTCAGCACACACTCTGCAGTGGGGAAGGGCCAGGATGAGGCCACTGGGAAACGCTGCCCGCAATCTACCCATGTGGGAAGGCACTTGGACCACACCACTGGCAGAGACCTCCTCGGTTCCCTGCGCATCCGTGGCCCTACCCACTTCCGTGGCCACTCTTCTCTTCCTGCTCAGCCTGGACCCTCTGTTCTTCTGTGTCTAGTGAACTGGCTCTCAAGTCACCCAAGCACCAAGTTTTCTTATCACAGGCACGTCCCAAGACATGAGTGTACAAATCGCAAGGAAGCGTACGGTGGGGGCACTGGCTCACACGCGGCGCTCTGTCTGGCCTCAGCAGGTCCCTGATGAGTCCCAGGTAGACAGCAGGATCAAGGGATACTTGGAGCATTAAATATGGCAGACCTGCACACACCCATCACCAGTGTTTTCTTCCTAAGGCACAGATTTCTCACTAAAGTTCCAATACCCTTTCTCATACATACAGAGCTATGTGGTCATCTGTCACCAACTACCCGGAAAACTCTTCCTTCACCCTCACTGCTACCATGCCCCGGAGCACCTGCAGGTCACTTTGCAAAGGCACTGCCCATGTCGCACCGCCAGGGCCCACACTCCTGCACAGGGCCAGCACCAGGGCCTTCTCTCTGCCCAGACTCCTCTTTTCCACAACCCTCATACCGACAACTCCATATGCTCCTTCCCAGCTCATTCCCTAACCCGCAGTGCTCTCTGTCCCCCACATTCTTTTCACATCCACTGGGAAACCAGCACCCAGAAACCATGGTCAATGGGCCCACAGGGTGCAATCCTTTGTGTCACCGCCTTGTCCCAGGACCCCAGCAATAGGGAGCTCTCAGGGTGGGGACGGCTCAGATCTGGTCCCAGTGCTGGGCTCCTAGCAGAATCTCAGTACACTTATAGGCCCAATAAAAACAAATCAACACAAAACAAGAATTAGTATTTTGCAGGATAAAGTATGTTCTAATGCCAAGATAGATTTGGTGATAGGGTAAAGGAATTCTGCTCCTGGGCACGGCTGATACCACAGCTTGGTGATGAATGACTGGCAACATGGGACTAACTCCCCCAAGATGGGCATAACGAAACGCAGTGTTTATTTTATTGGGTCTATGTATAAGCTATTTCTACCTATTCATCACTTTAAGTGGCATAAGACACTCTTATCTGAAGAGAAATACATTCAAAAAGATGCTTTAGGCATATCTTGGATTTTTAGCCAAAAAGTAAAGTGTCAGCTTCATAATTTACTCTGTAGTAAAAGAAGGTACTAAAGGAGTCCATGAAGACCAGGAAGAGCAGGGGGAGGGGGAGGGGATACTCCCCAGTCCTCCAGGTAGAATGAAGACAAGGAAAGGCAACACAAGGGAATGGGCTATGGGTACTGGCATGTCAGGAAAGGAAGACTACCATGTGCTTAGGTGGCCCCAACCAATGCCACCAATACTCTCCTGACTTCTGTCTGAAAGGAGCGATCATTCTATACGGTGGAAAGGGGCCACAGAGGAGTTCAGCATACACAGGGCACAAAGGCCTGAGAACTGCTGCAGCTAGAGCAGTCCAAAAGCTAGCTCCCAGCCTCGTTCCATGGGCCTCCACAGGCCTCAAAGCAAAAGAAGTGCCTGCCCATTACCCAACAGCCTTTCCCGCCACATGAGGCCTCTCTGGGCCACTGGGCTTCTCCGCTTCTTCTACTGGAAGGGCTGTGTGTTGAGTCTCACCACTGTGTGAGCAGATCTATGGGCCTACTGGCTGTAAAGTCCGATGCCTGCTCGTGTCTGAAGAGCCCATTTCTATTTTTTAGCCACTTCAAGAGGTTTCTTCTACTCAGGAAATGAGCAGCAGCAAGGTTTGAAAAGGCCCACACAAAATAACCAATGATGTTTTTCAATTAAGTGAACCTCCGGAGGTGGGAATGGTATTCATTTTTGGCTTTCAGTGGACAAGACTTTAAATAGTTGAACAATTTCTAGAACAATGGTTCTCAATGTCGGGGTACAATGTTCTTTGGAGAGCCAATGAGAACCGCAAACTTCTTCCTAGGAAGAAAAATGAGCAAATCCCAAGCCCTAAAAAAAAAAAAAAAAAAACCAATCCCGCCCAAGCACTGCAGAGGTTCACCCCTTCCCTCCCCGCTTCCCAGCCAGGCCCTCCCCCCACCCTGGGATGGGGTGGGGTGGGGCGGGGCGAGCACACACCTTGAAGTGCTGGTTCTCCTCTCGCAGCCTCTGGACCTCGCCCTGCAGTCGCTTACACTCCTCCATCACCTTCCTGACCTCCGTGTCATCCAGAGATGAAGTCAGAGACTTAGACACTGATGGTGCTTCTGTCTTTGATGCACTTGTGGATATAATTTTATTTATTTCTATATCATGCTGTTCAGAAATAAATGAAAGTTCAAGTGTCAGACCATGCAGGAAAGGATTTTTAAATGCAAAACAAAGTAGATTTTGGCACACACCACATGTGACAGCATTTCATCCACAATGGAAAATGTGACATTTAATAACGGATCACTTTTATCTAGCACCTTGATAATCGAAAGCAACTAGGTTCTAGAAGTTATGAACAAGGGCAGACAACGAAGTTGGGCTGAGGCTAATACTTCAAGAGTGTTGTGTGTAGGACGCCATCAAATTCCTGCCATCAGAATTGGCATACTGTAATGGTTCAAGCCCAAAAATGATTAGCCACAAATTACTGTCACCCCTGAGACTTAAGCATCCTAGAACTGGCTGGCTTGGGTGGGATGCGTGATGTGGAAGCTAGGATGAGGGTAGTATGTTCAGTCTGCGGAGACCACCCACCCATCTCCCTGCAGGACTGCGCCACGACATTCTGTAGACACCAATGGGAAGTCCTGCCAGGGGAGCCAAGAGCACCGGTATGCGCAGGGGCTGGAGTGGTGGTCCAAGGGCTCTGGTAGCAAAATGCAGAGGAGGCATGTAGCTCTACCTTTCACTCCCCGCCGGAAGGGAGCCTGGAAGGCCTGGACCCAGGCTACACTTAGCCCTTCAGAGAGCGGAGACTGCAATGCCAAGACAGAAGCAGCTCTTCCACTCAAGGAACAGGAAATGACAGTGGTTGGTTACAGAAGAAACCACCGTGTTGACACAAGCCAGTGGCATTCCCAGAGATCATCTTGGCTCATGTGAAAATAAGCCTTCAGAGCACTCACTCCCATTTCATATTCATAGGGGTTTTACACTCGTGTATTTGTAATACATTTTAAATTTATGACTATGCTGAAGGATCCAGTCTCCACTCCCACTGGTGACAGAGGACCAAGAGCAAGCAGGACAGCAGGGCTGTGCTCCCCTCCCTTCCCCCCACCAGACAGCACAGGAGATAAATGCTTCTCAATGGGGGACAAAGCAGGGTACAGGGACTTCCCCAGACCCACCCCACACACATGAAGCCATGTCTGGAGGCACTTTAGGTGGTCCTGTACTATTGGTATCTAGTGGGCAGAGGCCAGGGGCACTGCACAATACCATGAAGTACACACACAACAGCCCCAGCGGAAAGAACAATCCAGCCCAAATGTCAATTATACAGAGGAGCAGCAGCCTCGGAGGCTGAGGGCTTGGTTCACGTGGTAGGGCACCTGCCTAGCATCCCAAAGCCATGAGTTTTATGCTCTAGTACTAGGAAGGGAATGAATGAATGAATGAATGAATGGGGAGTGGGATGGAAAGGGTCCTGTAGAGACAAGAGAGTAAAGAAAGATGGCGCTGAGGGAAGGGCAAGAGTGCACATGCTTACCAGCACCAGCACCAAGACAAAGGGCAAGTTTTCCCCAAGGTCACTGCCGCCTGACAGCAGCCTGGGCCTCGACAGACCCGGGAGGAGGCTTGCACAGGCCAGAGGCCATGCTTCTCAAGGGGAAACTGTTTCCATTAGCTGTCTTTCTGTAAGACTTTCAAAGGCTGGTTTCATAAAGGCCCATTTATTTGTTGACTTCAACTTTTTTTTTTTTCATACATGAGGAGGAAAATAATTTGCCAACTTAAATCTTGGTTTTGCAGGAGATGGTATGCAAATAAGTATCAGCTTGCAACATTCAATTACTGTTAACTATAAACATACTTACTGGTTTATCATTTTCTGCTGGCAATTCAAACACACATCTAAGTTTTGAATCCATAAGGTCTTCCGGTTTTGCCTCCTTCCACTAAAACAATTTAAATTTAATAATCAGGATATTATAAAGCTGCTGGAAGAATAATTCCCCTCCTATAACTGACAATTTCAGAAAAATACTCTTAATGAGAAAGCCTTGATGTATATCAAATAAAGAACTCAAGTCTGCTGGGATTTCAATATTTTGAACATGACAAGATTAAATACAATAGCTTTCCTGAATATTTATTCCCTTTTCAGGTTCTGATGCCTTGCTGCCTGCTCTAGCGCTCCGCCCAGCTCTTCCTGTTGCTGGTCTATGGCGGCCTTGGCCTGGGAGGCATGCTCCACAGGAGGGTCATCCCCATATGTCTGTGTAAGCAGAGGTGACGCGCTCTCTCTTTACAAAAGCGGACACATGCTCACCGCAGAGTCTACCATTTGGGAGCAGCTTTAACACCCAACCACTAGCTACCAAGGAGCACAAGCTACCAAGGCTGCTCTCCACCACTGGTGGCTGTCTGAGCTCCACCCTGTCCCAAGCTTCCTGCCCTCAGCCTGCTGAAGAGAGCAGCTCTTTGCTAAGCTTGTGTTCTGGGATAGGACAGGAGTCCTGTTCAAGAATGACAGAACAGCACGGTTATAATACAGAAAGAAAGCCATTTCCCCCTTTTCCCTCCTAGCCACTCAGGAAGCAGCTGGAACAAGGAGGTACCAAGAGCAAGAAACAATCTGTGTCTGACACCAGCGGACTGCCACACACAGTATGGCAGACTCAGGCAATGGAGTAATAGCAGGCTGCCACTCAATACTGCTTGAGAGCATGCAATTACGTGAGGGGAAACTGCGGAATATTAAGTGAAGAAACTATAAACAATACTGAAGTCTGCTCTTCTACCCACATGCCCCATGGGTGTGTGCTACAGGAAGACCAGGCAAAGTCACCAACAGTATTAAAGCCACCTGGAAAGGCTGGTGATGAGCAGGACAGCCACGATGGCTTGGAGAGTATCCTAATATCTGCCCTATTACTCCAGGGAAGACACACTTCGCTATCCAGGAGAGTTGGCGCTCACCTTCTGAGCTAAGTGACCAAACAGCATCAATGAAATAAATCCACATGCAATATTCCTGATGCAGTGTACACATGACCTCGCCTGCGCAGAACCTAAATGCACACGTGACTTTGCCTGTGCAGAGCCTAAATGCACAAGTGACCTCGACTGTGCAGAGCCTAAATGCACACGTGACCTCACCTGTGAAGAACCTAATGCACATGTGACCTCGCCTGTGCAGAGCCTAAATGCACACGTGACTTCGCCTGTGCAGAACCTAAACACACACGTGACCTTGCCTGTGCAGAGCCTAAATGCACACGTGACCTCGCCTGTGCAGAGCCTAAATATGCATGTGACCTCGCTTGTGCAGAACCTAAATGCACACGTGACCTCGTCTGTGCAGAACCTAAATGCACACGTGACCTTGCCTGTGCAGAGCCTAAGTACACACGTGACCTCGCCTGTGCAGAACCTAAATGCACACGTGACCTTGCCTGTGAAGAACCTAAATGCACACGTGACCTCGCCTGTGCAGAATCTAAATGCACACGTGACCTCGCCTGTGCGGAGCCTAAATGCACAAGTGACCTCGCCTGTGCAGAACCTAAATGCACACGTGACCTCGCCTATGAAGAACCTAAATGCACACGTGACCTCGCCTGTGCAGAGCCTAAATGCACACGTGACCTCGCCTGTGAAGAACCTAAATGCACATGTGATCTCGCCTGTGCAGAGCCTAAATGCACACGTGACCTCGCCTGTGCAGAACCTAAACGCCCATGTGACCTTGTCTGTGCAGAACCTAAGTGCACACGTGACCTCGCCTGTGCAGAACCTAAATGCACACGTGACCTCGCCTGTGCAGAACCTAAATGCACACGTTACCTCGCCTGTGAAGAACCTAAATGCACACATGACCGCGCCTGTGCAGAACATAAATGCACATGTGACCTCGCCTGTGCAAAGCCTAAATGCACACGTGACCTTGCCTGTGAAGAACCTAAATGCGTATGTAACCTCGCCTGTGCAGAACCTAAATGCACATGTGACCTTGCCTGTGAAGAGCCTAAATGCACATGTAACCTCGCCTGTGCAGAACCTAAATGCACAGGTGACCTCGCCTGTGCAGAACCTAAATGCCCACGTGGCCTGGCCTGTGAAAAACAAGAGGTGTAGGAAGGCTGGGGGAGGACCTCAACTAGAATGAGAACAATTTTGAAGGGCAATTTTGAAATATTCAGAAACTCTGGGCATGGGTTTGTTTCAGTATTAGGTAATAATGCTGAATTATGGCTCATTTTCTTGGTTGTGCAAGACAGTACCAAAAGATTGCCCTTGCTCTGCAAAGCATCACCCAGCCTGATGGAGGTGTCTGGTTCAGCAAAAAAAAAAAAAAAAAAAAAAAAAAGTTTGTTAAAAAAAGAGATAGGCCAGATGCTGGAGACTCACACTTGTAATCCTAGCTATTCAGGAGGCTGAGATCTAAGGATCAGGGTTCAAAACCAGCCCAGGCAGGAAGTCCATCAGACTCTTCTCTCCAATAAACCACCAGAAAATCAGAATTGGTGCTGTGGATCAAGTGGTAGAGCACTATCCTTGAGCTGAAGGACAGCACCCAGGCCCAGAGTTCAAGCCCCACCACCAACAAGAAAGAGCAGGGGGGGGGGGGGGGGGCCAAGGCGAGGGGAGGGGCAAAATGTTCACAAATGCATGTCTAAGTAGAGATGAGTGGTCACTGCTCTACATTTAATACTTTGTTGGTAGAAATAAGAAATAAACATGTAAAACAAAGGGAAGCACAAAGTGCCTGGGAAGTCAGGTCTGCCAGGCGGAAGAAGCACCAGTTAGCTTTTGCTCACTTGTGTATTTCCTACGTTTTCTTCAGCGTCTATTTGTATAGCACTTAGCTCACTGTTATCGAAACCATCCTACTAAGAAGTAAAATGACACTCTATGGTCCAGGCACTGTCTGGCCTCTAACAGTTGGAAGAACAGGCATCCGATACTGGGCCAGGTGTTTACACTGAGCACACAGTGTGAGCTGAACTGTTGTTATTCCATCACACAGGACTCTGGAACATGCTCATGGCTGCAACATTATCAGAAGGCAGAACTTAACCTCACAACAGAGATGGCCTCTCCCTTGTCCTGCTGTGCTGAGCAGAGTGCCAGGCAGAACACACTCTGGAACACTATACATTCTGTAGGTAGCTTCCTTGATCACACCAATCAACATGAGCTAACACGACATGTTCCAGGAAATGAAATAGTCATTCTGAAGCAAACAGTTTTCTAGCACTGATCCCTTGCAAACTTAGAAGCACCTGACTAACCCTTCTTTTTCTGCCCCTAAGTGAAGCGGTGGAGAGGGCCACTGTCGTTTTCAAGGCTAAAACCATAGGCTGGGGGGGTGACAGGGGCAAGATGAGTTCTGCATGACACTGCCCCTGGGAAAACAACGGTGTAGTGTCAGCTACTGACACAAAGACCCCCTTTGGGGATCTGGCCCTCCGGGCTGGTGAGCGGGAGGTCAGAGGGAACCCACACCACTGCCAGCAAGGCTTGTCTGCAGGCTTGGGTCACACCGTACCAGAAGGCTTGTGGATTCACTCACACATGTACACCCCCCTCCCCCCTGCTTCGGGGAACCTTCTATTATGATCTCTCTTTTTGTAAAAACACAAATAATAATTTAACTTATAAAAACTAAAATCATCTTAGTTTTACCAAAACCAGAACAAGCTAAACATGTACTTATGCAAAGGGGTAAGGGGGAAATGAAGGGAATTTAGGGTTAAAAAGCAAAGAATCAAGCCAGGAATGTAGCTCAGACTATCTAGCATGCACAGGCCCTAAATTGGAAACTAGTAACATACACAAAGAGAGATGGACACACAGACACACAAACCCACCAAAGAACCATGCTTACCAGAACCAAGCTCCCCTTCCAAGGAAAGACAGAGGAAGCAGAAAGCCACAGTGAGCACCCCGTACCCCTTTATGTTCTGGAAGTAAGGTAGGAACGCCCTGTGTCGGGAGGGAAGAGACACGTTCCCTACCTCTCCAGTCAATTCACCAGAACACAGCACTGCTGAAGCAAACCGAGTTTATAAAATCAGGCAAGAAACACATTCTAGAAAGCCATGTAAATGTTCAAATTACCGAGTTTTAGTATAAACAGGTAGTCAAAGTACAAACCTCTTCAGAAATAGTTCCTCTGTAAACAACTTTGACACATTTTGAAATGCATGCACTCAGAATTCTATACCTAATTGGGCTGTTATTGCTAAAAAGAATAAGAAGTGTTCGGTACTTACTACTGCCTCCATATCAGAAGTGTCAGTCGGAGCAAACATAGACTGAACCATAAACTTGTGTTTACTTTTCTCATTGGGATCATAATCGAAAGGCTGTAACATCACTGAGAAAGAAAATATTTCATTAGGAGAGTCAGAACTTGGTAACCAGAGCCATTCATCATGCAAGTGCTGTGCTCTGATGGGATTCTCGTGTCTCTCCTGAGCACACCCCCAGAGGAGGAGGCCAGAAGCCAAGACCAGCAACTCCACTCTGTAAGCGAGGTCACCAGCCTGCAGCCGGAGAGGTCTAAGAGGAGAAGGTACTGGGAGTAGGGCTAGAACTCAGAGGCCTCTGATACCTAGTCCTGTCATGCACTCCACCAGCCCACCAAACACTACCACCCACCCCTCACAACAGGGAGGCTAGAGACACACCATAGGCCTGCTGTGCTCAAGGAAACACATAAAAACCATCTTGTCACAAACTCAAATGGAATAATCCAAGCCACTTAAGAAATGCTTTTAGCTTCTCTTCACCCCATTTCCTATGAAGCTCATCAAGGTAATGCTTGAAATAGTGTTCTGCCAACAGAACACTAGAGACATCTCACCAGCAGGTTATAAACAATCCCAACTCGCTCTCCCTAAGTATGCCGAGGACCTGTGGATAGATGGGTCATGTGACATACCATGGGCAGGGTCTTCCCCCTGTCTGGCCTCTTTAGGCCTCCCTTCCATTAAATGACAGTTGCTTCAGAATACACACCATGCTGCAAGGCTCTGGCTAACCTGCATGTCAAGCTTAGTTCCCTGAAACTGAGCCTCCTAGGCAAAGAAAGCTGACCATGGCCCTGAGTGTGTCCATATTCCACCACCTGGGTGCTATTCTAGTGTCTCATTTAATCGCTAAGAGGTAGTACCATGGTGTGAGTTAGGGGCAGGGGTGATATTATTTGCATGCCTACTTTTCAGATGAAAAAAACTAAAGCTGGAGAGGCGAACTTGTGTTACACCATGGAAGAGCCCACTCACACCCGGGCGGACAGTTCACACCCAGGTGGACAGATCACGCCCACAAAAACCACAGGCCTAGCAGCTGCCCTGCTGACAGCAGCACTGGCTAGCCTCTCTTCTGCTGGGCACTCATCAACGCTCTGCTGCCGTGGACACCCATCTCTGGGATTCCCATATGCCCCACAGAGCCTCGCCACCGCCAGAGAGGAAGGACAGATGTGAGCCCACGTCTGCGAGCAGTGTCAGGGGCTGGCTCAGGTCAGGAGGCAGGGAGCCATGTCAAGCAGAGCCTGTGGCAGGACGCAGAGACAGCTCGCCAGGGCAGCGCACAGAAGAGCAGCCAAGTGCCAAGGGCTCCCCCAGAGACCAAGTGTTCTAGGTTCACCCCACTGTGAGGCCCTTCTTTTTCATATTCCACCCCACCCATACTTTCACTGTACCCCAAGATGAAAAGAGGAAAAGTCACCTTTCCTGGTACTAGCTGAGTACGAGCTGACAGAAGAAAGCATATTCTCCAACAAGCTTTCTGCCTCCTGAAGTTAGGACAGAGGTTTGGAAGGCTATGACCAGTCTAGCTGGGTCCCATGGCTAGCACATTCAACGGTGGAGCCAGGGCTCCAGTCCATATGCATCACAACTTCTCCAAGCATGGTACATAGAACCCGGGGATCTACCAACCCCCACGTCAGGAGGTCACAGACCACACTATGTGGAACAACACTATGAGGCCAGCCGACACTTGTGCAACGAAGCCAAAGCAATGGCACAGCCACGGCTCGTGCAGAGTGCTGGGGCACCTCAGTCTTGGCTCTCTACCTCCATTTTACTGCCTAGGCACCAACACCACACAGCTGGTGGGAACCATCACCATGGCCTGCTCGGGTGTCAAGAGTGAGCTTTTGGGACACTCTGTGTGCAGGTGGACAGGTGCCCTTCCCTTCAGCTCTTTGCCACCAATGTCTGGCCTCTGCTCTTGGGCTCCCTGGCTATCAGACTGTGTGACTCTAGATAACCTCACACACCTCAGTTCTATATCCTGTACTATACAGCCCAACTTTTGCCAGAAAGTTTAGATTTCAGCTGAGCATCAATGGCAAACACCTATAATCCCAGCACTCTACATGCAGAGACAAAAAGCCAGGCCAGCTTGCACCACCCAGTGAATCTGAGGATATAGCCTGAGCTATAAAGTAAGTCCTACTTTGAAACCAAAGCCAAAGCAAAGTAGAAAAGTTTTGTGTATATCAGCCACCATCAACTCATGTCAAATTTGCCACACTGTATCAGCTAAAACTTTACAGAACATGACAGAAGAAATGTTGTCAATCCTTTGTTCTTCCAGATCCATAGATGTAAATTGTAACAGAAACTAGGTACTTCTTTTCCTGGCAGGCTATAAAACTGCCTCCCATTAACTTATTTCACTTGAATATCAAAGACATTGATGAGAAAGCCTTCTTAGAGGAACCATCGATTCTACTTTTAGAATTATCTGCTGATACTATGTTAAAGGAAACCTGTTACCAGGAGACAGCTGAAGACTGCACACTCCTCACTCACATCCTCACTCAGGGTACAGTGTCTGCTAGACCATAAGCTATGGAACCTGTAAAACTAACTGCTTAAGTTGGAGGCGTGGCTTTAGTAGTAGAACTCAAGGCCCCAATCCAAACCCCAGTACTGTCAAAAATAAAAACAGAAGCTGCTTGACCCCACTCCAGGAGATCTAGGTCAGCACCACACCTCGGACCTCGCTCCTTTCTGGGGTGCCTTTCACTGCCAGCTCCTTTACTGCTGATAGACTCTGGGCTCTTCTTCCTTTGGCTTTCAGTTAGATGGAAAACAGTACTGGCTATCTGTAGAGTGCACACTCAGGAGCTAGTTAGCTTTTTCCCACTGACTTGAAGCGTGCACCTTCCTCCCTTTCCACATTCAAGCATTCCTGAGTCAGATTCTTCTGGAAAGCCTCTGGTGCAGCCCAGGAAGAGGAGAGCTCCTGCTCTCCATCACCCAGCTAGCTTCTTTTCTGTCTACTCTCTCTCCCATGTGGCCCAAACACAGCTGCCCATCTTCTCAGCCTGTCTCCTGACATACTAGCTCTTTCCTCTCTCACAGCCTGTACAGCAAAAGACCACTTTCCACCAAACTGCATTTATGATGCAGTCACAATGAAGTCACTACTCTCCACCTTTGAAACTAATCACACAAATATAAATGGCAAGCGGAACTCTTGATCAGCTGACGATGAGCAGTGTGCCTATGTGAGAAGACGTAACCCTAGCTCAAAGCGTGACATCTGAGTTACAACTGTAAGCCACACAACATTTATCATTACCTCTAGGATTCTCAACATGTTGAAATCACGTCTACCTTCTTGTGTAGTCTAGCAAGCAAATAATTAATTTTATCTACATCAATTGCCTTTTTGACCCTCTGATCTCACTTTATTTATTTGTGCAGAGCAGTACAAATACCTAAGCCAGGATCAAAAGATGAGGTGTGTGACAGAAGGCATAGGCCAAATAGTAAGTCTCCCCTGCTTCTTTTTGGTAAATACCTTCCTCAATATGCTTTCCTGTCCCCTACACCTCAACAATGAAAGCCCACCAGCCTCTTTCTGGTGTTCGCTGTGCTGTGCTGTGCTGAGGTTCCCCACAGTGCCCTGTGGTGGTAAACCATTAAGCCAGGTCTCTGGAGCAGCTGAGACAGACGGAACAGAGCCTCCTTCCAGGGACTCCAGGCCCCGCTCCTGCACGTGTGCTCCTTGGGGTATGGTTGCCAGTGCACCACTGGGCAGGCACCATCACAGCTGCCCTGTCCCTTCCTTCTGTGATAAGCAAGAAAGCAGAATAGGTCTATATGAGACTGGCAGTCAGGAGTGGAGGCTGGGGCAGGAGGTCACAGCAGGGGAGGTCCACTGACAGAACCTCACTGCGGGCTGCCCTGACACTCTGCTCTCAGTGCTGCTGGGTCAGGCTGCAGGGACCTGTGGAGGCAACTCAGCTAAGTGAGGTGTACTGTCTGTACTTGACCACCTCTTGATCATAGCTTTTCAAAGTATAAGGAACAAACATGAAAAATGAAAAGGACTCTTCTGAAGAAACCTAAATATTACAGTAAACTTTGAAAACCTTTAAAAGCACAATTAAGTGGAATTTTTGTTGGTAATTTTTTTAAACCATAATCTAATCTGATGAAAAAGATTAAAGACATCTTTTAAGTATGACTGTTAGTTGTTCCTATCAGAGAGTAATAAACCCAGTTCACCGAAACCATTTATAATAAGGTTCCACTTATCAGAGACTTCCAAAACAAAGATCAAACATGAAGAACACTGCTGTTAAAAAGCCCAAACTAGACAGGTACTGTGGCCCATGCCTATAATCCTAGCTCTTCAAGAGGCTGAGATCTGAGAACTGAAATTTGAAACCAGCCTGGGCAGATAAACCCAAAAGATTCTTATCTTTAATTAACCAGCAAAACAGCCAGAATTACAGACGTGGCTCGTGGCTCAAATGGTAGAGTACCAGCCATGATCAAAAAGAAAAAAAAAAAACTGACTATACAACTTGTGTGTGGGGACAGGAAGGAAAAACTGGGAGAGGGAAAGGGAAGGGGTGATATTATCCAAAAAGAAATGCACTCATTACCTGACTCATGAACCTACAACCTCTCTGTACACCACTTTTATAATAATAAAAAAACAAATTTCAAAATACTGAACAAGAGGGAGACTCTGAGCTCAAGCTCAAATACACTCACAAGCACACCCCCGCCCCCCCCACACACGTGCATGCATGCAAATACCCACAGCCCAATTACCGCCACCACCCCCCACCACCATTTAGCTTCATTGTCAGCACTTCATAGACAAATGCTGGCTTCTTTTTAAGCAAGCATTTATACTCTACTGCTAGTCACCTGAAAGCTGTGGCCCAAGGCTGACTGGTCCAGGGTCACCGAACAGCAACATTAAACTGAGTCAGCAAAATCTTAAAAGGATTAATTATCAATTGCAATACTACCCAATTACATCAATTGACCCGTTTCCATCCAAGAATTACAGATATTAATTCTGTCCTAAGGATTTTATTGGAAGAACTTCATGCTTTAAATGTGACTGTAAAGAGTAGTGAAAGGCTGTGTCAGAAATACTGCTCCTTACTACTCAAAATGAGAATTTAGAACACAGACTCAAGACACTGGGAGATTGGAGATTGTGTTTGTTGTCTTTACTCCATTTTCAGTACCCAGGATATACTTAGCAAAGTGTATCGGTACCATAAATACTGGGATCTTTAATGACTCTTTCCAATAACCCCCTTAGTTTGCATTTCTAATTTGTGTGGTACACAGGCAACCAATGGGTATAACTGAACTGCAAATGGAAATGTGCTTGCTACTTAGTGAAGTTAGAATTCAGTGAAGGTTATAAAAATACTAAACTTAATATCATATTACAGGAAGTGTAAGTATTTTTGATGAGCCCATAATTTCACCACTTCACCTGCTGCATCCGCTGGCAAACATGGTTTGGAATATTAATGGAAAACGCTCTCATTATTAAACTGCAGTATTAACAAAATCCACAACCACTAATAGCTTACCACAAAGACATTTTCAGAAATTATCTGCCTTAAAAATATTTTCCCATCATACAGTTCAGAAAATAGACTTAATTTTATAAAGCTAGAACAAAAGGGAAGAGCCCCACTGCTGCAAACAATTCATTAACTCAAAAAGTTACAGCCTGGCGCTGGTGGTTCATGCCTGTCATCCTAGTTACTCAGGAGGCTGAGATCTGCAGATCGCTGTTCAAAGCCAGCCTGGGCAGGGAAAGTCTGTGAGACTCTTATCTCCAATGAACCACTGGAAAACCGGAAATGGCTCAAGTGGTAGAGTACTCACCTTGAGCTGAAGAGTTGAGGGACAGCACCCAGGCCCAGAGTTCAAGCCCCATGACCAACAACAACAAAAAAATTATTTACTCGTGCTTGCTTCGGCAGCACATACACTAAAATTGGAACGATACAGAGAAGATTAGCATGGCCCCTGCGCAAGGATGACATGCAAATTCGTGAAGCGTTCCATATTTTAAAAAAAAATTATATACTCCTTGCATATGCAATTTCAGGATAATCCAATTATCTCTCCTGCAACCTCCTAGAAGCGGTGCTGTGTTGTTGAGGCGGGGCCTGCAGGATGCCCAACCAGAGCCAGTAGACGGTGTGCAAGAACAAGAGCCCAACTGTGGCATTCGGGGACATCTAACACAAACTGAGCATGCACACCAGGGTCCTTTTGCCTACTGCCCTTCACAGAAACAGACATGGATCTAGAAGGAGTGACTACAGGAATGAGACTGAGATGACAAAGAGAAGGACTTAAGCAACAGACTGGAACAACCAGAACAACTGGAACAACCACTGGAGACTCTTATCTCCAATGAATCACCGGAAAATGGGAAGTGGCGCTGTGGCTTAAGCGGTAGAGCACTAGCCTTGAGCTTTAGAGCTCAGGGACAGCGCCCAAGCCCAGGGTTCAAGCCCCAGGACCGACAAAAAAAAAAAAAAAGAAGAAGAAAACATGAATTCCTCCTGAAAATTAAGTTCATAAATTACTAAAATATATGGGGTCAATTTACTTTTAAAAGGCAATTCAAATATTCAGTAATGTATCTTGAATGAATCTTGCCAGGTTTACCTGAGCAGAGGAAGAATAATGTAGCCCCACTGGTGTAGTCCACTCTGTTAATACTGTCTGAGCAGTTCTGGGAGTTAATACGGTCCCTCCCCCTTTTCCACAGAAATGCCAGAGCCTCCAGAGAGACAAGATCGGCATTGCTTAGCCAACTGACTAAAGAGTAGAGCTGGCTTCCTGCTCAGGTTCCTGATCTCCAGACTAGTGATCTTTGAGCACTGTGTATGAAGTGAGGTCAGACCGTGGACTCACTGGTCTTGCCTACATCTGCCTCAACTGCATCTGCCCTCCTCCTCTCCCCTCCCCCGCCAAGTCACGAGGACCTGTGGTCAAGGTGGGTGAGTTTTATCCCCAGGTATGCATATCTAATAAAAGGAACTTATAAATCTGCAGCCCCTGGGGCTGTGGTCCTTCCCCAGCCCCAAGGCTGCCCTGAGATGCCCTGAGGGCAGCTTCAGCACAGGGATACACACCAAGTAAATACAACCTTGTCCTGTCTAGGGGGTAGGCCTGCAGATACGAGGATGTTCACTATTCAACTGCTTTCTTCTCCCACATAAATGATCTATACACTCATTTGTAAGTGTGGTCATCCCCTAACTCAGTTGAGGGCAGTACTGTAACCTAGAAAATGACTGGATCAGGAGCCAAGACACTGGACTTCAATGTGAGCCTATCCACCCGATCATATCCACTCTCTGCATCCCACTTTCCTATCTGCAAAGAGAAGGCCATAGTCATTAAACCTCAGCCTTCATTAAGTACCAAGATGAAATCAAGAAAAGTGTTTAGAAGTACCATTACTTTTAAAACATTCCCATGATTCATATCTCGGAATGAAAAAAGAAAAAAAAGATAAATCTCTGAATTCAAAAGATTAAATGCAATAATCCTCAACAAGCGTCTTTAGAGTGGAGGGGTGCGGCTCTCAGTCCAGTGCCTGCCTGGCCAGTAGCAGGTGCTGGGTTCAAACCTTAGTAGTGAACAGTAGAAAAAAATCCTGCTTCAAGACAGATGGACGCACACAATTGTACTTAATACCGGAAAGTGCACCTCCACTATGCAATTATCTACTAGGATCATTTTATTTGGAAAACCATGCTGCTTTCCCCACCTGCATTGACTTTGAAAGTTGATAGTTTTCACCTACCAACAACTCAAATTTGCTCAAATTTAATATGGACAGGGAAACTAAGGAAAAAAGGTGGTTATAAATAGAAGGAATAAAAGATTTCAACAGAAAAACATAAGCCATCTGGACCCTTCGCATCTGTAAGTGCCAACATTCTGCTACTCCCTTCCTCAGCACTTGGGTTCATAGAGCACAGGCCAGGCCCGGCAGAACGGGCTGCCGCTCTGTCTCTAGCCAACTTTGTGATAAGCCAACACCAATCTCTTTCCTTGTAAAAATGGAGGAAGCAGGGCCTCCCTCCCAGGCAGATGACAGAAATGACACAACAGAACCTGTGCAGATCTAGCACAAGGAGGGTCTCATCAATGCTAGTCCTACCCTCCTGGCTGCTGCTGGGCCTAGGACTGGCCTTCTAAGTGAAGAAAGAATTACTCTGGAACTGGAATGGGTGCCCCTTCATGAGAGACACCAGAAAATGCAGGGAATGAGAGCTTGCAGGAATGATTAGATAATGAAACACCTTGTATCTTTCCAAAGAGGTGAGTCATTTTCTTCTAGGTGTCAAATGAATAGCCAAATGTATCACGATCAAAATCTATCACAGAAAAAGCCAGACAAATACTCACTTCAAATGAAAAGTCACTCCTAATGATCCCGAAGCCTCTAGACCCTGAGTCACTGGTATCAAGAGGATAAACACTCCCCATGGCACCCTGGGCTCCACAAGTTCTAATGAGCTAAAAGTTTATTCCATTTCTCAAATACATCGAAATACTAACCCACTGCTCACGCCTCAATTCTGAAATCCGATTCCCAATTTGGGCCCTATACCAGCATCTTTTTCAAAAGTTGGGCTTTGGAAAATATGCACTCTCAGACTAAAGGGGAGAGAAACCCATCAGACAGCACAGAACTTGCACCCTTGGACGCATTCCAGTTCCTTCAGCCCTCATCTCCTCTAGCTTTTCACAATCAGTAGAGTGCAGTTGCCCATCATTGGAAATGACACGAGCTTAATGTCAGAAATTGTTTAGCCTAAATAAGAAAATAACTCCATTTAGCTTTCTCCCACAAAGTAAAATTAAGTTTGTTTAGCCCTTTCTTATTTATTGCCAAAGGGCAGATTTAATTTCAAAGGAGTGACAGCCAAACTCATTCTGAAGTAAAGTCTAAAGTCACCACTTTAAATGTGCTCTAATACTGTGGCTCCAAGGTTGAGAACACAGAACCGAAGGCCTATTAATTATGGACACAGAGGTGATGGGACCACCAAGCTTTCCAGCCAGAGGCAGAGGGCATGGGGGTTGGGGGAGGGGGGGAGTCTGACACCTCCCTACACTGTAAACCCAAGCCAAAGCCCCCAGGCCCTGGGCCCTTCAGGGCCTGCCCTTGCCTGGGGTCTCAAGACTTACCAGAGACATTGACAGAGGCCCCAGCATCAATGATCCCGCTGTTGGGCCGCACACAGTACCTACGCGGTGCGGTGGTCTTCACTTTAAAACACACATTCCGGTCTGTTGGGTTGCCAAGCTTTAAGTTGGTGGTGACAACATCGGTGAATGGACCTGGGGGCGAGAGAGACAGTGAGCAACGTGTGCGGGACTCACTTGTTTTGGGGAAGAGGGCTGTGGAAGAGAAGGGTGAAGGGAGGAGCCACAGTCTCTGGCTCGCAGCACCAGCTCATCACCGTGGAGTCTGCTACACGAGGCACCCAGTAAACTTCCAACCCACAGCACCTCAGACCTCTCAACTCTGAGGACAAGCAGGCTCAGGGCGAAGGGCTCCTTGTTCAAGCGTCCATGTCAGCTAACAACAGAATCTGTAACTACATGGCCTGAGCCCAAGGCCAGTTCTTAACATATATTACGTACTTACTTCCACAACAAACAAGGTAAAATGGACTAAATTTGGATCCCAAAGAGTTGTTATCGAGAGCAGCAGAGGTAAGAAAGACTTTGGGGTGCTAATGGCCTATAACACAGAAACAAAAGTACCTTCCTGGGCTGGGAAGGTGGCTCAGTGATAGAGTGCTTGCCTTGCATGCATGAGGCCCTAGGTTCGATTCCTCAGCACCACATAAGCAGAAAATGCTGGAAGTGGTGTTGTGGCTCAAGTGGTAGAGCGCTACTAAGCCTTGAGCTGAAGAGCTGAGGGACAGCGCCCAGGCCAGAGTTCAGGCCCCATGCCTGGCAAAAAAAAAAAAAAAAGTACCTTCCTAGGCTCATCACCAGAGCCAACTGAGCAGCTCACCTCAAACATCACATCCAGCTTTAACTACCCAAGCTGCAGGAAGACTGAAACAAAGCTCTGTGCCTTGAGGATATTTTTTATTACTATTATTTATTCATTTTCTACTTTATTAGATTTTTAATTAAAAAAGTAAAACATGCTTCTTAAAACAAAGCAAACAATGAAATATGTATAAAGAAGCCTTAATAAGCTTTCCTGTGTCCCGGAGGTAACCAGCACTCGCTGTCTGGGAGACTGTTCTCCTGGCCCACACTTGCACACACATGCACACACCTGTGCTGAGGAAGGGGAGAAGAGGGAATTACACCACAATGCACGCATGTGCACACTAGTGTGCCGAGGGAAGGAACGCAGGAGAGGGCTAAGACACATGAGACTGTGCTTTTCACACTACTCTGAAAGCTGCTTTTCATCGGCCTATCTACAGCGGACACTGGTCACTGGGTGTACTAAGAAGTCAGGTAGGGGGGCTGGGAAGGTGGCTCAGTGGTAGAGCGCTTGCCTTGCATGCTCGAGGCCCTGGGTTCGATTCCTTAGCACCACATAAGCAAAAAAGAAAAAAACCAGAAGTGGCACTGTGGCTCAGGTGGTAGAGCGCTAGCCTTGAGCTGAAGAGCTGAGGGACAGCGCCCAGGCCCAGAGTTCAGGCCCCACGACTGGACAAAAAAAAAAAAAAAAGAAGTCAGGTGGGGGAAGATGAATTAGAGACCAAGTTTTTTTCCCCAAATTTTCCAACAGATGAGCCACACTGGCTTTCTCCAGCCTTTACCTTTCAGGGAAGGAGGTGGTGGTAGGGAGGCGTGTATGCTACCACTGCAGTCATAAAGAAATGCATACTGGCTCACACATCCCTGATGCAGAAGACCCAACAAAGACACTTAAATGGGAACCGTGCAAAGTTTTCAGTGAGACACTGTTATAACCCCGGGGATCGGTATCGTTCTTTGCCCATCTCTGTATCCCTGAAGCTGTGTCCGACAGCAAGTAAAGGCCCCAAGAAGGAAACTACCTGTGGTTTCCTTCCAGCAAAATTAAGACCTTAGCCTGGTTTCCTCTAGAGGGGCTCAAAGTATGAAAAATCAATCTAATAAGGGCATAACTTAAATACAAATTAAGAAATCAATAATAGTGGACAGGAAGAAAAGAAAAGGGACTCAATTCCAAAATCAAATAAACCGCAGTTGGTTCTGCTTCAAGAAAACACAAATTTGTCCAAATTGATTGACGTGCATATTAGGAGGGCAATTTGAGCATAAAATGATTTTCACATTTGCTTATGCCTAATTTCATCTGCAAGAAAACCTGGTGAAAACTGCACCCAGCTGAGCCTCGCTGCACAAGCACAATAAACACACACCACCCCCAACCACCTCAGTTCACCCCTCTTTCCTCCAGGCCAGAGAACTCAGAGTTTGCCAGTGAACTCAGCCTTTCCCCAGGTAAAGTGCACTCCTGCTGCAGCACTGGCAGGTCTCATAGGTCCCCATCTTTGTGTGTGCATTGCTAGAGAGTATTTGGTGTTGTGTGGCTTTCTTCCCTCATAGGCCTACGCTTACTGCTGTGCTACTCTGCATGGTGCAGGGCTGGCAGAAACGCATGGGTCCTGGTATGGAAGAAGTGACTGCCACTGGTCAGCTGTGGTTTGGGGGTTACACTTCTCTGTGGGCGGCACCTCTGAGAATTAAATGTCCCATAGAATTTCTCCACTTAGCCGGGCGCTGGTGGCTCACGCCTGTAATCCTAGCCACTCAGGAGGCTGAGATCTGAGGATCACGGTTCAAAGCCAGCCGGGGCAGGAGAGACCATAAGACTCCCATCTCCAATAAGCCACCAGAAGTGGCGCTGTAGCTCAAGTGGTAGAGCGCTCACCTTGAGCTGAAGAGCTGAGGGACAGTGCCCAGACCCAGAGTTCAAGCCCCACAACCGACCAAAAAAAAAAAAAAAGAATTTCTCCACTTGCTGATCTTTCTAAGAAGCCTTTGCTTCTAGAAGGGTCTAGAGACAGAGTTCTATCTAGAAGTGAGGAAGGTCAAGTCTTGGTAGTTCCTCTAGCTGCAATCTCCATCATGAACCACCCTCTCAGTTCCCTCCACTGCAGGGCAGGCAGACGCGCTGCAACTAGGGCAAAGGAGAGCTGGATGCAGATGGCATTCCATCCTTGGCTTCCAGAGAGAAACAGGACACTTGGTGCTGAGACAGTATCCCGGGGATTATGGGAGCACTAGCCTCTGGAACTCTCCCTGACCCACCCTCCAATACCGTGGGCTGACTCAGATGACAGAGAAAGTCTAATCTTGAACAAACTCTCTGCCGGCTTCAGGTGGGAATCACTTCAGTAAGCACAGGCTAAAAAAAGATAGCTAAAAACAGCTGTGGTTTTCTAGGGCCAAGGAAAGCAGGAAGACATGCAAACCTACATGGGCACCCACAGATCCATAAACCCACTAGTCAATTACACCTCCAGGGAGCAGAGCTCCAACTTGAGTAGTTGAGTTGGGAAGGAGACACAGTGGACAAGGTGACTCCGAGGGATGAGCTTCCAGGTATAAATGTGATCCTTGAAAAGGAAATCAACCACCAGGCCTTAAAAGCTTCCTAGATATAAGCTTAAGGTTAAACAGTTTCAACATGATTCTGCCTCAAGAACATGGACATGTGTTCATATCAGAAGGCTAAGAGTGCATAATGGCCTCCCACTCCCCAAAATGTACAGACATCTCACTGTGGTGAAACTAAGCTTAGCTTACTAACTGGCTGGTAATGTCTCTTCCCCTTCCTCCCTTCTGAAGTGGAGGAAGAAGACCCTACAAAATAAACCAAATTTAACTCCCAACACCAAGTTTCTTGTGAAAATTTCCCTAGGTTCATCTCATATATAGCAAACTAAATGGATTACATGAATCACATGTTTAAAAAATAATCTAAAGTATTAAAAGACAAGCAATATTTGCAGCAATAAGCAGAATAAAATCAGTAGACTATATTTCTCCTTAACATTCAATCCTGGGTCTTTACATACTGGGATTTCTTGGACTTGATAGCTTTTATATGTGAAAACTGGATACAGCTATGCTGTAATTGCACACAACAAAACAACATCACAGGCAAAACAGCCAAGTCCCACAGGGAAAAATGAAGACATTTCATAAAAACAGGCCAATCCTCCTCCTCTCCCCACTTTGGGCAATTTTCTCTAAGAATTTTATTGAAAATAAATTCTATTCAATTTGAGTAATTATAGGAGATAAACCATGTTAGTGTTCTCCTTTTCCCCTGTATTAATGAATTAGAATATACAAAACCTCAATAAAAATGATGGAAAGGCTTATGAACATCATTCAGAATTTTACTAGTCACTTCCATTTCATAAAACTGCCATTTCCATTAAAGCATTATGTAAAAAATGGGATTGTACTATACAAACATGCATATTTATCACCAATGAATTTAAACATTGCTTATAAAGTACAAAGTCAATTTTACAAATGAAATCTTCAAAAGTTGGATTTTTTTTCTTCTAAGAGATTAAAAAATGATTTCTGTCTCTAGATACATGACACATACATTTAATCATTTTCTTTCTAATCTTCTATTCTTGTTTCAGGTAGCATCTATATAAAACCAGAAACTAAGCATCTAAAATGAAAATTGGAAGAAAAATAAAAAAACAAGAATTTGGGAGAAATCAGAAATACATGTTAGAAGTTTTATTCTTCTATCTAATATACCAGAATAATGTTCATTATGCTCTCTTTATGTTCATGTCCACCTGTGAAAATTTATGTAAGTTTGATAACGATGTTCCCAGAAGAGCATTAACTGAACACCAACAAACTCCCTAATAAGCTCTAGAAGGTTCTAGGTGTAGCAAAACACAGTATGATTTCCTTCACCCTCCCCAGTCCTAAATATTTTCCCTTTTGTCTTTTTCAATTATGTTTCTTAAGAAAGTAAGATGACCTGGGCTTGACCTGTTTTAGAAAGCAAGTTACATAGAACCAACAGAAATATGTACATCATTAAAACTCAAAGAAGAAAAGGTTGATTTTTTTGGTGTCAATTACAAAAATGAAACATGAAATTTACAAAGTATTAGCCTCAAGGTCAAGGAAGAAAGCCAATCCTCAAGGGGTCAAGCTCCAGGTGCTGTACATTCTTCAAAACTGGCTAGCTAAATTCATCAATCAGATGATGTAAGTTTATTTGGAGACCCTCTGTACCACTAAGTAATGCTAACAAAGATGTGAGGAAAACATCAATTTGTAGAAAAGCATTCTGTTAAATATTTTAAATACTCTCCTAATCTATGCATGGT